GGTTGTCCCGAACTCACCCTGCAGGAAGTGAGTCAGGGTTTAAGGAAGAAAAATGTTAAAAGGATGGGGCAAGAGTCCTTCCTGCACCAGGAGGAGGGCGGCACCGGTCGTAGGAAGGAGACGGGGATGGAGGGTCACGGGCGACGCTCAGGTAGGGAGAGCTCGCTCGCCTCCGGCGCTGCCCGTCGCGCGGTAGCTTCTCCCCGGAGTCCGGGGGAGGGAAGATGGGAACACCCTGTAACTCATCCCACCAACAAAACCCGGGGCGTGAGCTCAGCGCTCTCCCTTTGGCACCCAGGAGCTCGTCTCGGTCTTGCCGTTGGCTGGAGCTGCCCTTTCCTTTTAGGCTGCGTGGGGAGGAGAGGGGGTGGGGACTGATCCAGGCATGGGCTGAACTCTCTGTGTGTGTGTGTGTGTGTGTGTGTCTCTTCCGCCTGCAGAGATGGACACCTTCAGCACCAAGAACCTGGCCCTGCAGGCCCAGAAGAAGCTCTTGAGCAAGATGGCTACTAAGACCATAGCCAACGTCTTCATCGATGACACCAGCAGCGAGATCTTGGATGAGCTCTACCGGGCCACCAAGGAGTACACCCACAACCGCAAAGAGGCCCAGAAGATCATCAAAAACCTCATCAAGATCGTCATGAAGCTGGGCGTGCTCTACCGCAACGGGCAGTTCAACCCCGAGGAGCTACTGGTGATGGAGCGCTTCCGCAAGAAGGTGCATACCTTGGCCATGACGGCCGTCAGCTTCCACCAGATAGACTTCACCTTTGACCGCAGGGTCATGTCGGGTGTCCTCACAGAGTGCCGGGACCTGCTGCACCAGGCTGTCAACGGCCACCTGACAGCCAAATCCCACTCCCGCATCAACCACGTCTTCAACCACTTTGCGGACTATGAGTTCCTCTCGGCTCTCTACGGGCCATCCGAGCCTTACCGCACCCACCTGAAGAGGATCTGCGAAGGGGTTAACAAGATGCTGGAGGAGGACAACATATGAGGTTGGCCAAGATGGGCCATCGGCAGCGAGTGCCGGACTCTGCCTCCTGTGAGACCGAGGACAGGATGTACGCCTGTTTTGACCATCACCAGCCTTGACATCCTCTTCTCCTCTGTAGTGCTAACTCATTTTCTCCTCATTTCTACAAAAGACTGAACCTCTTGACTTTGTCTAACCCTTGCCCAGGGTCTGCAAACCCTTCCCTGTGCTGGGCTGAGTCCTTTCCAGATGATCCTGGGCTTCTGGACTCCTGCTGTACAGTTTGATTTCCTTTGCCCACCAAGTGCTCTTAGCTCAGAGTCCAAGGAACTGGGTGCTCCTCACCTTGAACTCTGTCGTAACCTTCCTGGGGGAAAACCAAACCAAAGACCTGCGGTGCATTGACACCTCCAAGGTGTCTCTGAGCGGGTGGGCGGTTGCTTGGATGAACGGTTGGGAGAGCCTATTACCGCAGGGTTGTGGAGCCCCATGGTTGTCCTTCAGCAGCTCCATGACATGGTGGGAGCAAATCATGGTCCAGGCTCGTGCTGCCCATGGTAGGAAGGTGCTTCTGCACCTTGGAGGCTACAATGGGCTTTGGCCTCTTAAAAGACAAGTCCTGGAGACCGGAAGGATCCCACCTCGCCTGGGCGAGCGGCTGTCCCTTGGGGCAGGGAGGGAGCTGGAGGTACCTGCTCCTTCCCTGCCACCCTGGAACACCCCTTCACCCAAGACCCAACTCTCTCCGCCAGCCTCCCGTGACGGTACCGCTGTGATGGCTCCAACACCTTCCTTGGTGGTTGTCCAAAGCTCTCCCTGGGATTTCATACGTTTTACGTGTCCTCCACTGAGTTATGGTTGTTATTTTTTTAGCAAACTCTGTAGCCTCGATGAGTTATTTAAATAAACTCACAGTTTGGCCTGGGTGCTCCACGCGGTTGATACAAAGGCGGTTGACAGCGATAACATGAGCGGCCGGGGGCTGTTGGTTTTGTTTTTTAAATGGCGATTGCTCTCTGCGACCTGGGTTTTTTAACTCGCTGTCCCCTGGCGTCGCTGCTGCCCAGGCTGCCCCAGCTCCGCGAGGCTTTGCACGGCCGGGGTTGAACCGGTGGGAGGAAACGTGGCGCAAAACCCAGCGCAAACCGATAGAAAAGGTCCAGGGTCCGGGGCGGGGGGGGAGGCGCAAATCCTGCTCCCCTGCAGACACCCACGCGTGCTCCTCCGCATCCCCGCATCCCCTCGCTGCGCAGCGGGAGCTAAAAAAAAAGCACAACCCCGAGAGCAGAAAGCAATGGGCACCTTTGCGGAATTCAATACAGGTGTGTTGTGAAAGCGTTGCGCGCTCAGAGCACGGACGCACCCGCCGTGGCCCGCTTCCAACCCGCCGATCTTGGCTTTGAACACCGAAAATTGCCCTTTTAGTATACAAGATGCCGCACAATCTCAGCTGGCCTTATCTCCGCGACCTTCTTGTGCCTCCTGTTCCGTGGGATGTCTCCAGGCACGGGAGGCTGCCAACGCTCGCGGGCAGAGAGTGGCTCCACGGCTCCCATTCGCTGCTCCCGTTCCACCGCTGGCTCGAGGCACTGATAACTTTCAGCCTTAAAGATTTTAAAAAGAAAAAAAAAAGAAATAAAGCCCCTATCTCTGTCGTTTCATAGGCCTGGCTCCAACTATCGCAGTTTATTTAATTGCGGGATGCAGCTCGGGGAGGGGGGTAAAGCACGTTTATAGGTGTGCAGGGAGCAGAACGCGGCCAAGATCCGCCGAGGCGTTGGTCCCTCGGGGAGGGCAGGGGGAAGTCGGCCTTTGGCACGTGGCGTTTGAGAACAGACGTTCCCGTCCCCCTCCCCGGGCTCGCGGCAGCTGTCAGGTACGTGCCCAAGAGGAGCCGGAGCTGGAAACAGCTTTATGTGCAGAGGCGCGGGAGCAGGCAAAGCGGAACGGGGCTGATGGATGCGGCGACGGCTGCTGCGCTGACAGCCCGAAACGCTTCGCTGTTCTGTTCTCGGCTGCGTGTCGGCAGCGGCTGCAAGATGCTCCTTAATTGCATGAAACATCTCTGCGCGGATGAGCCTGACTCACGGCTGTTCCCTCTGTCCCCAGGGTTTCGTGCGCCCCAGGACCACTCTTAACCCACCGAATGCCTGGCACCAGCTTTCCTTCAAATACAGGCACCTCATCGGAAACTTCTGCCCCGCGCCCCACAGCAAACACCCACCTCGTTCCCAAATTCTTGCCTTTTTGTCCCAAGAAGCCCTGGAGAACACGCTCTCTGCTCGAAGAGCCACCTTACAGCCCGGGTTTCCCATCCCAACCCTGGCGGGACAAGTCTGGGAAGCGAGTCCCTTCGGTTCCCTTTGCTGTTGTTCCCACCACGCAACTGGTTAAACTGGGAGAAAGGCCAGAGACCAGCAACACCAGCGCCCTAAACACGGCTGGGAGCTCAGGCAGGAGCACGCTGGGGACTCACCTCCCCACCCGCAGCGCTCCTGGGCCCTGCAGGTGTCTGGAGATCCAGAAGGAGCCGCGCAGGAGAGAAAGAAACATCCGGGAACAGCCTGGAAAAGAGAGCTTGTAAAATCCTCAGTGTAAAGCACCCCTAGACTGCCAAAAACCAGGGCATCACCTCTGGGCAAAGCGCCCGTCAGGACAGCGCTGGGTTACGCAAACTTCCAGCTGGAGCCTTGTTCTCCCGTCGCTGCGTCTCCTCTTGGTGGGCAGAAGCCCTGCAAACCCTCTGCAGCCTCCAGCCTCCCCTGCGACACCTCAGCTCCTCGCGGCCAAGCAAATGCCGACGGTCGCAGCACTCGCCGGGCGTCCCGTTGGAGGGGGCAGGAGTCACAGAGCAGAGCAAACTCAGGCGAGAGCACGATGCTTTTATTTCTTTATTTGTGTTGTATTTACACAGGAAAGGAATTCCACGTTCCCTCACTGTTATTACTCTAGATAAGAAAAAAATCACTTCTGTACGTAGAAAATAGTCCTGCAGTTGTACTAAGACATGAAAGTGTTGCTTGGATTGATTCCTGGGTTGTGTCAGAATAAGCAGCTCTGCCTTCCCCGTGCCAAGTTATCCCACCCCACGCTCTGCACCAGGGCAGAACCAGGACATCCTCCCCAGCGACGGTTTTCGGTAGCTGTGCTCAACAAGGAATCAGTTTTGGCCAACTTTTTCCCTTCCTTCCCCCTCCCACCCAATTTAATTATTTCCTCCTGTCATGCTTGCAGAGAGAGAAATCCTGTCCCCCCTCCAGAGACTAGAGAGTTAACAACTTTCCTTTAGCAAACAGTGTTTAAATCCAGCCACTTATCTTTCTGCATTGCTCTTCCTAGCAGGGGAGATAAGGAGCCCCCGTTCGAGGGGAGCTTTACCATATTCAGCAGATCAACCAAGCAGAAAGCGGGCGACAGAACGGTTGGCTGCCGATCAGGAGTCCCGGAGGAGGTTTCCAGCTGCAAAGCAGGTTGTTACTCTGACACAAGACAGAATGCGTCTGTCTTAACACCTCCAAGCCCCACTTGCGTTGGACCCTAGCACATTTCAATATGGAAAACATAAAAGGTTTGGCCAACCAAAAAAACCCACAGTTAACAAATAATCCTCTTTATCTGCCATGCTCTTCCGGCCAAAGCACCCGGCCCAACACTGGCCTCCGAGTCACAGCTCGTCACGGGGCGTTTTTGCTACAATCATGAGTTTGGACAGTTCAAAACGGAACTTGCCTTCCCTGTGAGACACTAGAAAGAGAGAAAACAAGCACAGGATAAACAGATGGTCAGGCATGAACAAAACAGCCCTGCTGGTTCCTTTCCAGGACAATAAAGCCAGCAAGTCGGGCATTGCACTTCCTTCTTACGCACGCGACAAGCACGTTGTGATAAACCCGTTCTTCCCCCGTGCTAATTTAACATTTACACTGGAACGAGACCCGCAAAATCCTGCTGCCAGCTACGGATCGAGAGCACTATACCCCTGACTGTAACACGCGCTGTTCTATACGTCGTCACCCATCTGCGTTAAGCTTAAATACTCGTCTCCCGGTAGACAGCCAGGCTTGTCTCCCACACCACCCCTCTCTCACGTAGTTCTCTGGGTCACAGACCTGTCGTTTCGGTGATTGCAAATTCTTCCTCTTTTAAGGGGACGTCGCTTTGTCCACCTACTGCAGCTTGAGACTGAAATGGGAAGGAAGAAGGTTTAAGCAGTTGAGGCAATCCAAGGAGTTACTGTATTTAAAGCAAACAAACAACAGCGCATTTTGAGGAAGAATGAACCTGTATTTTAGTCATGTGGAGTGAAAGAATTAAATCCACATAGGAAATCCGAAGGAAATTCTCTGGCTATTTTTCCATTTCCTATTAAACCACGAACTTGTGTTGCTCAGGTACCTGAAAGCCTCACCATTGACGACTGGGAAATGGAAGAACGAACCAGACAAAGGCACCAGCAGAGGTTTTATTTACTTCGTCACATGCAATTTGTTGAGGCCAACCGAGACTCCCCTTGTGCAGCGCACCCTGGCAGGACAGTGCCTTTCGGAGTCACGACACCGGCAACGCCAGCAGCAACCCGATGGCATTGAGGGAGCAGAAACAAATGGTGCGGGAGAGCCTACATGCGGCCCCTCCTGACTGCCACCGCTCTCTAATTAGGGATGTGCTGGAGAACATTTTATTGGACAGACGTCTAATAAATGTTTTCCATGTCCAATTCATGTTTTATAACGGCCTCCCACACACCTGCTTCCACGCAATCAGCTGGGACTTACATAAGCCATGGCATGCTCTATCTTGGCTCCTTTCACTTCAGCTTTAAACTGGGTAAAGAAGAGGTAAGACTTCCCTTGGGGCCTGCAACAAGAAAGCAGAGTCTGTGACATCGGCAGAGGGGGCGGAGGTGCAGATACCGCTCGCGGTTCATGGCTCCCTCCTGCCACAGCCACCTCTGACTCTCTTGTAGCTCCATCTAGTGAGGAGGGCGGAGAGGGGGGAAGCACATTTACCAACCGCCGCCTGGCTGAAGAGCCCACCCAGAGTCACAGCGGCTCTGGGGAGGGGAAAGCCCTCCGGTGCTGCCCCGCAGGGAGGCAAACCCAGGCGGGAAGCAGGGGCCCTGGCCCAGATCCCACCTGCCGCCTTGTTGCTTTTGCCTCAGAGAGTTTGAGGTTAAAGAACGCACCTCCAGACAGAGCAGGAGAAGAGCAGGTTGTCTTCGCTGACTCCAATGTTCATCTGCCATTGCTGCAGAGGGGAAAGGTCCAAAGAGTGAACGTGGGCAAGAGCCTCCCGCTTCCCGCTCCCCCCTGAGGCCAGTCACCTCCCCTTCCCAGCTGCAGGCAAAGTTTCAACAGCTCTAAAATAACGCAACGTAACTGCACCACACTTGCTGGTGGCCCCTTTTACTTTGCGTTGCACAAAGCTCAAGGCCTGGTCACCCTCTCCTCTCCACGATTTCATCGGCAGAGTTATTACAGAAATGAGTTCAAGTCTCACCTCCCTTTGCACTGAAAGAAAAGGACCCAATTCTAACAGGACTTGCAGATAAGAAAGTACAAACTGTGTATCTGCACAGCACTTACTGCAGCAGCGACACGAGCTGCAAAAACCTTCAAGCTTCCTAAAGAGCACAGGAGTTACTCCTACGAGGTCCTTCCTACTAACTGAGGTATGAAAATGTAACTCCCTGTTCTCCAGAGATATCCAGCCCAGAGATTTGTTAATAAGCCTTACAAATGTCACGGCCTTGCGAACCACTGCACCACCGTAACACACGAAGGACGCTTCTGTTCAGGGAGCAAATCCAGTAAGTTACTTTTGCAAACATGCAGCGTTAGAAACCGTGCAACCACCCTTCCTCACAGCTCCTGGTCCCTGGAATCAGCTCATCGCAAACAAAATCATCCTGAACAGCGTCTCACTCTGTGCAGCTGTAGAAACCGAGCGTAAGGGAAACACTCAAAGGTTTGCCCAGCTCACCTCGTTCGTTCCTCCCTGAGCTGAATACGTGAAGGTGCAGGTGTAATCCCCCTGGAAGAAGAGAAGACGATGAGCAGCCTTGCTCGAGCAGGACCTTCTCTTTGTTCACCATCAGCCACTTCTCGACAATGATGTGAGATCTGGGGACACCTGAGAGGATTCCCGGGGCTCCGGCATGGTGCAGCCCCCAGCGGTCTCACCCCAGGGGTGACCGAGGAGGAGCACGGACCATGTCCGTGCCCAGACCTCATCGGAGCACAGACAGAGCCGGGACCGTGCAGCCCTCACCCCCGTGGGGTGTCAGCAGGACCCCACGGTGCTGGGGTGGGGGCCCAGGAACTCCCAGCCCCCTCTCCATAGGGCCCCTTCCTGTGCCTCCTTCCCATGGAGACCCTCTTTCTCTGAGAGCCCCTCTTCCCCCTTGGGGTACCTCCTCCCCTTGGGAACCCCCCTTGGGGACCCCCTTCTTCCTGGGGGTCAATCTCCATGGCAAGCCTCCCTCCCTGGGTACCTCCTCGTCCCACCTTGGGGAGCCATTTTCCTTGGAGACCTTCTTCTGCTGGAGATGCACCCCCCTCAGGGACCCCCTTCTCCTTGGGGACTCTCCTCTTCCTTGAGACCGCCCTCCCTTTGGTGACCCCCTTCTCCTTGGGGACC